TTTGAGGCCTCAGGAATACATTCTGTGGAGCGGGGCAGGCAGAGCAGCTCTGGGCTCAGTGCCCTCCTGAGCCTCTGCCCATCTGTGTCCTCTCGGGCCCCACTTGGCTGAAGGACACAGAGGCAGCTGACCAACTCCAGCTGTGAACAGGCGGAAAACCGTGCAGAACCCATTTCTGTGCTCTGATTGCCTGGGACCCAGGTCTACTCACTGCAGGAGGCTGCAGGTGACAGGGTGTTTACCCATGGCACCCACTACAAGTCCTGAGTCCAGGGGTGGAGATGCCACCGCTTCTCCATAGGAAACCAAGTGTCTTTTGTCTGCCCGCACCTCACCCTTGTCCAAATGCCTGCTCTCCAATTCCTGTGCTTCTGCCGCAGGGAATCAGCAGTGTGAGCCCGAAAGAACTGTCCCCGGATGCCAGTGTTCTCCCCGGGTGGGGACAGAGATGTGGGCCTTCCAGAGTTTTCCTCGTGCCAGGCAGGTGGCTCCTGTGTATTCCTTTGCAGCCCAGGCTGCCTCCCAGCTGGGCTCCTGCGGGCCTGGGCCGGCAGGGTTGTGCCCCACCTGCAGCAGGCCAGGCTTCTCCAGCGAGCAGCAGACACCAGCGGTGCCCCATGCCACTGACCAGCCTGCTGTGACCTGGTAGCAGGCAGGTGCCCAGAGCCTGGGACTCAGGCAGTGTGCAGGCCCCTCAGAGCGCAGTCCCTCCCTGCCCTGCAGCCACTGCTGACCTACATTGTCTTGATTATAACCTTGCAAATATGAACGAATGCAGATCGGAGCCCTCCCAGACCATAAAACCGGAATGAACTGAAACCCATTTACAAATTAAACACAAACAAAACAGCGAAACCAATAAAATTTAAATTTGCAGCATTAATTTTACAAGGCAGATGTTTCTCAGAGACCCAGGCCCCGGGATTGGGCCCCAGGGTGCAGGAGTACCTGCTGCCTTGCGGTGTGGATGTCCCAGCTCACGCCTGGCTCACGTTCGGAGGGTGTGGCCTGAAAGCATGTTAATCGTTCTGTGGCTGTGTCTGTATTTAACTCAGGGCCAGCCCACAAGGCATGTTTTGTGGCGCTTTCTGATAACTTGCTTACTGGCCTGTGTATTTGTGTGAGGACAGCTTCGCCTTGTAGCAGGATCAGGCGCTGCTTTGAACGGGAATAATCCAATTATTGCAGGGGCTGCGAACAGAAAGAAATTTCATTGCACGTTTACTGCACACTTACTGCTAATGAACTGCCCTGGGCGCGGAGGGAGGAGGGAGAGATAGCTGCATGTCATGCTGGGTACTGTGACCCAGGCCTCCCCTGGAGCAGTGTAGCTGGGCCCCCCTCATCCTGCTGGAATTCACCTCAGGTCCCAGGAATGGGTGGGTCCCCACTTACTGGGATTAAACACACCTCTGCCCCAGGCACACCTGTGTGCACAGGCACATCCTCTGCTTGCACAGGTGGTGTGCACAGCTTTGGAGGGGCAGGGGCCCACTATGGACCATACAGGAGACACCTGCTTTGCTCTGGTCACTGCTGTGGGCCACACACTCTCCGGAAGGGCAGGTGGGGAGGATCTCTCGCCTAGAGCACTGGCCCCAGGGCAGAACCTCCAGGCCACGGCAGGCCCTGAGTTCGCTGGAGAAAACTCGGAAGGAAGTTCACAGCCCGACATGGAGCTTGGCCTTCTCCTGTGATGGAACCAACCAGGGTGGAGGACAAAGTCACCAGGCTTCCAGTATCGGAGGAAAGAAGAAGCAGGGCCCCACCCCGGGTGCAGGGCAGCCCTCCTCAGTGGCCATTGCCAGTGTATCTTGTGGGTTGCCCCTCCCTTGAGGACAGGCCTCAGATCGCAACTCCGGCCAGTTCTCCCTGCCCTGTGGTCGCTGACAGCAACTGTGCCCCGAGGGTGTGCCATGCAGGCCGGGCAGGGTCTCACATCTAGTCAGCTGCTGCCTGCAAAAGTACATGCTGAGAACACGTGTGGATGGCTGAGAACACGTGTGGACGTGTGCATTGCTGTGCAATTGTGTATGTGCTCTACTTGTGTGTGCGCGCCTTTGGGAGTGGTATATATATAGTCTGTGTGTGGTGGGTGTTGTGTGCACAATATGTGTGTGTTCCTGCTCCCTGCCGACTGTGGCCAGATCGTAGAGGCCTGTGCAGCGCACCTGGCGGTGCCTTTAGGGCTGGTGGACACAGGCCTGGCAGAACCCATGCGCTTTGCCCCGGAGGCCAGCCGGAACACTCGCCTGCAGCCTCCTTTCCTCTGAGGATGGGGCTCCCTTCTTTCTGTCCTCCAGGTGCTGGGCGCTGCTGTGCCCAGGCTGAGGACCAGTGGAGAGAACGCAAGACATGGGAGACACCCATTCCTGACACTGTCCACGCAGGAGCTGTGGTGGCTGTCACATGTGACAGTGTCTCCACAGAGCCCTGCCATCAGCCTGCCATCAGCTTTTCCCGCCTGTCCTCAGGAAGCTCGGCCTGCTCTGAGTTTCGCTGCTACTTTGGGGGCCTGCTCTGCTGTCCTCACATGACATGGCTTTGTGAGGCGTGGGCATGAAAGGCCCTTTGTCCCAGGGACCTGGTGGCCCAGTGCTGTGCCTCCTGTTGCCTCCAGCAGGAAGTGGCCAGGCAGGGCACAGCACCCCAAGGTTAACAGAGGACCTGAGTGCTGGGCACTGCGGCCAGCATCCCCTAGGCCTGGTCTCCGGCGCACCCCTGTCTGGAGGCTGGGCAAGGCCAGTGGTCCTTCCTGTCCGTCCCATCATGAGAGCTGCTTGCGTGTGTGAGGGAGGGTGTATGCTGAGCCTGCTACTCACAGAGCGGGCCTGGTTGTCTAGTCAGCCTGGCTGGGGCTGAGCAGGGCAGTGCCAAGGCCTGGGCCTGAGAGGGCAGAACCAGGGTAGGGTCTGGGGCCGTGGGTCAGGGATGAATTGAGCCACAATGCTGCAGCCAGGATGCATGGCCACATATGGCGCCCTACCTACAGGCTCGTGTGTGCACACATAAACGTGCACACAACAGGTACCCGTGTACACACCTGCACCCGTGCGTAGCAGGGGCCTGTGAAGGGCCCAGCTGGCTGGACATGGATGTGAAGGTGCCAAGGTGGGGTGGGTGACACAGTCCTCAGGTTCTATGCTGCACCTAGCAGGCGTAGCTAACCCACCCCGAGGTGCCCGTGCTCTGCACGCATCTGCAGCTGCTCCTGGGGCCCAGGCGAGGCCGCCAGGTCCCTCCCTCCACCACCCAGGCTGATCTGCAACTTCCCAGACCCCATCCCCCATAAGAACTCCAGGCCTTTGCTGGGCGATGTCACCTGATGACGCAGGCCTGTCCCTGTTCTTGTCACCCATAGCCCACTGCTCCTCCGGGGCGGTCCCTGAGTCAGGGGCCAGAGGCAGGACCTGGTGTAAAGTGGAACCCCAGGGTTGCTGGTTGAAATGAAGGCTTCCCAGGCACAGGGACAGTGGGGATCTCCTCATGAGTGGAGCCCTGTACAGCTGCTCAAATGCCTGGTGTCTGCAGGGTTCACACACTGTTGCAGGCATTTGTGTAGCGACCCTCCCTCTCCTGCTGGGAGAAATCAAAGAAGAAATTTTAGTAACCACCTGTCCTGCGGAACTGCAGCTCTAGTTTATGCAAATGGAGAGTCCTGTGGCTTTTATTATTTTATTTTAAGGAAAAAGTGAAGCAGAAAAGAGCATCCCAGAGGGGTGGGATCCCAGGAGCCTGGGAAGTTGCCAGAGGACCGGGCTGGAGCCAGGCAGTGAGGGGCTCTGGTCCCCTCTCTCCTGAGCAGAGTCTCCGCAGGGTGGGCAGTTGTGGGGCCCAGGAGCCTCCCAGGGCTCTGTGCACCACCAGGCCAGGGCCAGGAAACCCCAAGAAGGAGGAACTCAAAAGCGGGGGCGGGAAGTTCTCAGCTCCTGAGTTACCGGCATCCAGAGGAGAGGAATTTCAAGTGTGCGCTAGAAACAGGTGAGCCCCAGCCGTGGGAGCTCACAGCCCTTCCACACGGGGATGCCTACCAGATACAGTGAGCCATGGTGGCCACCAGTGCCGCCACCCTCACCTCCTCTGACGTGGCATCAGTCTCAGGCTTTCATGGTTTGTTATTTTCCTGTGTTCTCCCTTCTCTGACCTGGCAGTTGAAGTTGGGGGCAGAAGCCAAAGAGTGCAGGCACGCGTGTCTGAGTTAACCCTGGGCAGAAGCAGCCCTGGCATGCGTCCCTCTAGGGTCCAGTGTGCCTCTGTGGGTCTTGCTTTGGGAATCATGCGGGGAGGTGGTTAGAGGCCCATTCAGATGGAGGTGATGTTTTTCCCTGTGTGAGGAGTTCCCTAGTGCTCTTGGGAGGTTCTGGACAGAAGGTTACAGTGAAGCCATCAGTGGCCGCGCTGTGGGCTCCTCGTTCCGGGCTTCCTTTCCCAACCTGATCTCTGGCCTTCCTGTGCCTGGGCCAGGAGGCCCAGGGAAGAAGTCGGTTTGGGCTTCAGGGTCCCTGGGCTTAACAAGTCAGTGGTCACCTCCCACAGACCTGTCTCTCACCAATGCCCAGTTCCACCCTGCCCTGTGGCCCCAAGGACCACGCCTTAGGGTCAGTGCATGGCTGCAGGGTAGGGACACAGTCACTGTGAACTCAACCAGGTCCTGCCCGCCTGGCTCCTGGCATCGAGCCCTGGCACCCTCAGGGAAGGGCCCTTGGAGCTGCTCCTTGAAAACGTTGCCATGACCTTTGGTTGCTCCGTGCTGGTGGTGACAGGGCAGCAAAGTCCAGCTTGGGAGACCATCCCCTATCTAGAGGACAGAGTATCAGGCCAGCTTCCCACTGCCTGTCCCTGGAGTCACTGAACCTGGCATATGAGGCCGCACCAGGAGCTGCCCAGGGCTTCCGGAGATGTCCAGTGCTGAGAGCCGGTGCCGGGACTCAGGCCCTCGAGGCCGTCCGTGTGTGCAGGCGGGCAGCATGCTGACTGCTGTGTCCTTCCTCTCTCCGCAGCCCGCATCATCAGAACCAAGCAGTGGTGTGACATGCTCCCCTGCCTGGAGGGGGAGGGCTGCGACCTGCTCATCAACCGGTCCGGCTGGACGTGCACACAGCCTGGAGGGCGGATAAAGACCACCACGGTACGTGGCCCGCTGTTGGCTGTGGGTGCTGGGAGGGGCCTGTGACGGGCAGGCGGCAGCAGTGGCCACGCATCAGGCAGAACCATCATCTCCTCTGCTCCCTGCCTTGCCCTAGGACTGTGGCCCCAGCAGCCTGACCCAGATCAGACGGTCATCATTTGGTGACCTCAGGGACAGGGCAGCGGACCCAGAACCATCAGGAGGGCTGCTGTCATGTTGGGGAGGGTATCTGGTATCAGGGTTCACGTGGGGGACCTGTCAGGTTCCCCCGACCTGAGAAGGAGCTTCTAGACCTTTCTAAAGCACCAGGACTGGGTTGGGCTCTGCAGGATTCTGCTCTCCAGGTGTGGTGTGGTGGCTGTCTGCTGACCATAAGGACACTTAGTCCCTCTTCATCCCACTGGCCAGGTGCTGTTAGCTCCTCTAAAGAAACTGTGGCTGACTGGGTCCCCGGAAGCACTCTTCCCCCGTGGCTGGCTTGGGGTCCTTTTCTGGGGCCTTTCTCGAACATTCCTTCCCCGGATGCTGTGAGCTGTTCTCCCTTGTGATATCCAATGGGTGCCTCTGGGTGCTCCAGTGCCAGGCTGCGGGGCTGACCTCTTCTAGTGGCTAATGCCACCCCAGTCTGGCTCTCCCCTCAGGAGAAGGTGAGACTGGACCCCCGTCCCCCTGCCAGATCAGTCTCTGTGGTGGCAAGAGCCCTAGAGCCCTAGGAAGGGGCCAGAAAGCACCCGAGTCCTCTTCAGGGACTGCACAGGCTGGGGCTGCAGCCCACTGCTAAGGCCACCCCTTCTGCCTAGTCCTGTGTGAGACCCACGTGGCCTGTCCTAGCCGCGTACCCCAGAGGCTACTCTAGCTGCAGGTACCCAGGCAGGGCCACAACCACCTGGCTCTGAGCACACTTCGGAATGGGGCTGTGAAGCCACAGCATGTGTCCCCACCGCAGCTGGAGGTCAGGGCTGCAGCCTCAGGTCCAGTGGGTTGTCCCGAATCCTGCTGTGGGGGCAATTCCCTCAGCCCGTGCCAGCCGGGAGTTCCTCCCTAACTGTGGCTGTCTGGGAGTGGCGCAGCCCACTAGGCTCCTGGGTCTCCCGCACAACAGTGTGAGCAAAGCTGGCTCCATGCCGGGTCCAGTGCACACCAGTGCCGAATCCAGGGTCTCCCTGCCCCCGGGGCAGTGCTGCATCCAGGCTTCCTCCTGCTTCCTTCCCACCCTGGCACTCCTGGCTGGCAGCTCCCGAGGTAGGTGGTAACCTCCAGAGCATCTGGGTTCTCAGGCCAGGGTTGCCCATGCAAGTACTTCCAGAAAGACAGGGACCAGTGAGAAGCAGCCCCAGACAGTGGGAGGCCCGTCCTGAGAGAGGGCCCAGGGGTCTGCATCTGGACACACAGGGACCATGACTGCAGCCGGCCTCTCTGCTAAGTCAGTGCAGCCCCCAAATTCATTCGTAGAGGAGGTGAGACTCGAGAGGACCCTGGACCCCTGTGGCCCCTATAGGGAGGTCCCTGCAGCCCCTGTGGAAAGGCTGTACCCTCCATGGTGGGAACCCGGTGAGCAATAAAGGCATCACAAGCCTGGATGACCTCTGGCCCCTCCAAGAACGTGGGCCATGCTTCCGTGCCCTGAAGTAAGGCGTCACGGTGAGGGGTCTCCCCAGCCTTCTCAGCCAGGCTTGGGACTGTCGCAAGGCCAGCAGCCAGGTGGCAGGTCAGGCTGGGACAGAGGGCATGAAGTCGTCCTCAGCAGCCCCCTGTGTGTGTGGCAGTGGGTGGGCGGGGCCCCACACCTCTTCTTGTCCTGCTGCCTGGTCTCGCTCTGCTGTGCCCAGGGACCGTGGGGGCAGAGGGTCGTGACGGTGGACTGCAGGGGGCAGGCCAGGGCCCACACAGGAGCATGCTGTCCTCCGGGCCCTGTCCCCTCCTGGTGTCCCGGGGCTCTGTGATGTGTCCGCCCTCTTGCCTGGCCTGGGCCAGCTGAGGGAAGGGGAGTTGTTGTGGCCACCATAAAATCTGTAGTACCAGGACCATCCAGGGAGCTGTGCTTACTTGGCCCATTACACTTCTACGCAGCATTGTCATTTTAATGCTGCCGGTCTGAGTTTAATCATCAAATTAGAAGCCTCACGGTCCGCCTGTTAGCAGCAGCTAGGCGCAGAGGTGTAGGCAGGGTGAAGCCGGCTACGGTCACCCCACTTTTTACCCGTGCAATCACATACGCATGTGTAAGGACTGATCCAGAGGGGTTCGGACTCAGGGGTGTATGTGGGGCTGTGTCCTCTCAGACAGGTTCTGCCATGGCCTCTGCAGTCCACGCTCAAGCACGGGGTGATGGAGTTGTGAAAAATACCTCCCAGGTCACATAGGGAGGGAAGGCAGCAGTTTCCTGCCGTCCCAAGGCTGTGTGACCAGCTGTCCAGGGCCGCACGCAGCCAGGGACCGTGGTCAGACACTTCTGCCCCGAGTCTGCCCGCAGCGCCGTGGACCCCATCGAGCACAACCTTGGCTCCTGTGTCCCTGAGCCCGGCCACCAGCTGGAGACCTAGGGAGGGAGGCACTTCTGTCTCACTGCTTGTTGAGCCTTTTCCCAGGACTGCAGAGGTCTCACTCCCAGGGCACCGACGTCCTCCACTTGCCACACGAGCTGTCATTAGCTGGATGCGGGCCCTGCTGGAGTACCAGAGGGCCAGGACCTGTCACACCCCTCGGCCCAGCCCAGCTCCACTCCCAAGACAGACGGCAATGTGACTCAGGCTGCTGGGGTCCCCTGTCCAGTTTCCATGCCAAGGTCCCCATGCTTCAAAGCCCCGTCGTAAAGTGAGCTGGCTTCTGTGCGTTCACAGGGCAGGTGACCGCCACTCGGGTCCTCGCTGAAGTCACTGCTTCCCAGCCAGCCTGATAGGCAGGAGCTCATTCTTCCCGACCCTAATCCAGGTTCACCTCCAGACTGGCAATCGGGTACCTCCAGGGTACAGAGGCCTCCCCAAAAGTGCAGGGATGGGAAGCGGCTTTCCCGGGCCACCAGAGAAAGATGGTCAGTGGGCTCCAGTGGCAGCTAGCCCTTTATGTCCTCAGAGTCAGCAGTGTTGTTGCCCAGCTGTGCTGCTGTGGCAGGGTGTGGAGGGTCCTGTGCAGACACAGCACTGTTTTACACAAGGCTCGGGCATCCTGGTGCAGCCCAGTGGATGCCACAGGCACCATCAAGTTCACACTGCTGCACACCGGGATGGGGACTCGGCCTCCCCCTACCCCTGTCTTCTCCCCGTGCCTGTGGCCTCTTCTCTGGCTGTGTGAGTCCTTTAACCGAGTCTTCCTCCTAACCAATCAAGGGGAAGAAAAGGACCACTGGCCCATCTCCCTGCCTCAGGAGCTCCTGGGCCTGCTCCTGCTCTTAGGGGTGTGAGGCCAAGGCTGGCTGCCACCCGGGATCCTGGATGCACTGCGAGCCTCCAGGAGGCACCCCGGAGGGTGGTGGCAGTAGCTGTGATTGTCCAGGGCCTGACTTCCAGAATACCTTGTGGACACTTGCTGGGCAACTTCCCGTGGCCTCTCAGGCCTGCTAAGTCCAGCCATGGAAGCTGCAGCCAGTCAGTTTGAGTGACCATGATGGCCAGTTGTTTGGAAGGCCAGGAAGGCGGGGTTCGCATTGGCAGGGAATCCTCAGAGGACAGGACTTCCTTCCTGCACCCTGGCCCTCCTGCTGCAGTCTGGCCCCCAAGCACTGTTGGCGATGTGTCCCCAAGTGGGCTTACCCTGGGGCCAGGGGCATGGGCAGTGTAGTTGTCTCAGGGGCTGCAGGACCCGGCTCACACAGATTTTGGGCCTCTTGCCCTGCTCGCCAGCTCTCTAAAAGCCAGGTTGAACTCTGGAGCCAGGCCACGTAGAGCTGAAACTCACCATCCCACGCCACGGTCACCTCCTGACCCCTTAGACTGAGTAAATGAGGGCTGAGGGACTTCCCTGTCCTCATAAATTGGGTTTCCGAGAGTTGATGGTTTTCTCATAAATTGGTTCTAAGAAGCCTGGTGATTCCGTCCCAGTGCCCTGCAGTGCCCAGGGCTTGGGTCAGAACCCCGCTCCGGCCACCACTGCTCCCCATCCTGGCTGTGACCACCCATAGGGAGCCCACTGCTGTGACACTCCAGACCTCCTCCTGTCACCCCATCATTTCTATGTGTCCCCGGAGGGGGCACCCCTCAAGGGCAGGCCTGCCTGTGCCTCGGAGCCCCCTACCCTGTCCCTCCCGGCCCGCATAAGTAGCGTGATGAATGGACTCACTGATTAACCCGACGGGCACACGCTGACGTCTGTATTTCCGAGATCACTGCTTCTCTGCGAGTGCAGGTCCTCACCCCATTAGTGGGTCGTGAAAGTAATTCAGCGACTCGTGATCAGCATTTGAAAGGAGGGGAAATGGATTAAAGCCCAGTGAGTCAGGTCACGGGGGAGTCCCTCTAATGAGCGGGGTGCACATGCCTGGGATCACATGGGAGATGGGAAGCCACAGTCCTGGGGACATCTCTGCACTGTCTGATGTGACCCTGGTGACCAGGGCGGGAGCAGCTCCCCTCCTTGCACTGTGGCAGCTCCCAGTCCCGGGGATGGTCCTCGGGCCCCTACACTTGCTTCTGTCGTAGTCCACTCTGCTCTGGCCGCTGCTGGTCCTGGTAGCAGGGCTGGCAGCCCAGGTGCACTGCGGTCCCATGTGCCTGGCCATTGGGAGGTCAGTGAAGGGGCTCCCTGGGGGGCCTTTAGATACCCCATCGTATTTGCCATGCACATTTCTGCAGTGCTGCGGACCGCAAAGTGCTCGACTGAGAGCCACTCGATCTTGCGACTCAGAAGAAACGAGCTAGACTGGCATCTGCTTTTCCCATAGGCTATAAAGCCCAACTTAAGTTCCACATGACCGGAAACAACAGTCTTGGGGAGCAGGGTTTCTGGGGAGTCTGGTTCAGGATCAGGTATCATCTCGCATGTCAAGGTGCAATCACATTTCCTGG